TTTGATACCTGCGCCGGGTATATAAAGTTCGGTTTCACTCGAACTTATACTTCTTTACTTGTTTACTCCATTTTTTTATTGAAGAATAAATTTTGTTGGAGTTGACTCTTTCCTTTTTTGTCATAACCTTGTATTTCAGTGAAGGCCATGCGAACGCGACCAGCGACGCCAGCGCCTTTTTGCCGTCAAATGGAATTGGTAATACGAGTTCAGGCCTACCTCTAAATGTATACAGGCACTCGTTTACATACATAGGGGCATATTATTTCCACTTGTTTGTATGTATGTAAGTATTTTGATATGAATGTACAGGTTACGCACGAATGCCACGCATTCCAGCGGAGCCGCGTCGTCGAGAACTTGACTTACATTTCCACGCTGACGCACAATTACAAGTGTTCTTACACACATATGTACATATATTTGTGTGCATAAATATGCATTTAGCACAGAATTTTCGTTATGTGATACGCATGCCGCAAATATGTATGGCACTAATCGGTGTTGTGGGTGGACTTCAGATTTTAGTTGTTTGATTTAAAGTGAAATTAAGCGTCTATGAGAGTTTATGTAGGTTTGGTTAGGTTAGGAGGGCGTGTGTGGAATATTCCATACTTTCACTCGGAAACAGCATTGTCCATTGCGAGTGCCCTCTTTAAGTGAGTGCAGGGTGAGACACGTACCTATAATCGAAAGAGTAGCTTCAAGTCATTATTCTACCTGAACCAATTACTATACCTAATAAACCCCAGAAGGTCCAATAGTTCCACCTCCGCTATCTCACCCAGCCCGTTGAAGAAGCGTAAACCCAAGTCTGTAGACCTGGACATCGACACAGAAAGTGGTCAATTGACTCTTCCTCATCCTCATCATGGTAGCCCCTGCACACATTACTTGTTGGTATTCGCCACCGTTGAGGCATTGGTGCCATAGCACAGTGTCCTGCGGTGACGCCGGTAAGCACTCTTACTGAAAATCTATTGAATTTCAGTATGTCTCTTGTCTTTTTCCTACTAAGACGCTCCCATAAATAAAAATCTCGTGGTCTCACAGTCTTTATTTGTTTCACAATTCGTCGTGGCCGATACGGCTCAGTGATGCCAGTGTTGTACGACATTTCTATACAATTCACGATATCTTTATTTTAGATCTTACTGCCTTCAATGCTGTCTGACTGCCGACAAAAATAATGGCTTTGCCTTCTGGAACTCTACTACTAAATAAAATACTAGCCGCCCTCTCTATAGCGTAGATTTCCGCTTGGAAGACACTGCAGTCCATCGGTTGACGAACGGACCTGTTGATCTGCTGGTCCTTCGAGTAGACACCGGGATCCGTTCCTCATTCCATCTTTGAACCATCAGTGGATATAAACCCCCTTCTACTACTGGCTTTCTTGCATCCCATTCTTTTGTTGTCGGGAGCCCAATGGTTACCGTCGCATTGAAGTCCTAAACTGACGTAATGTAACCAGTGCTGGCTTCTATGCATGCCAGCATTAATTTATTGAGCCGGACCCGTTTTATTTCATTCCGTATTACTGTATTCCCGCAATTGGTTGCTTCCACGTTTCGGCTTCTCTGAGCCTAAGAGCGCTCCTTGCGGCCGTACCATGAATGAAAATATGCATCGGTTGCAAGTAAAATATCATGTTAAGTAATATGACAAGGCATGCGAGTCTTTGCACCTTTCCTATTATTTTCCTGTTATTCCCTTTGTCTAGAGCCCTCCATCATACTAAGGACCCGTTGCTTTCAATTGGTCTGGCCTCACCTCCCACCAAGCTTTCCGCTTTGTAGGTATCTTGCAAAACTCCTTGTCAGATGGACGACCAAATCTCACATGAGTAACGCAGCATAGCGGGCATCACTCCGTCCGGTCCCGGTGATTGAAACGGATCGAAAGAATTGATGGTCCAAGCTACTTTCACCCTTGTCAAACATATCTCAAATCACTTCTATAGGAACATGAGGCCAATTTGTCACTTCATTACTGACAATTTGGCCCGAGCCGCCTGGAAAGTGGGTGTCTATTAAACATACGTAAAAAAATTCGGTCTCCACGAGGCAGCATCTCATTGTTGTCTGAAGCTGATAAACCGGGGCCCGAAATTTGGTAGTGTGCATGCGTTTGTCCAGTACGTAAAATAAGAACTAAAATCGATCATGTTGTACTAAGCAGAATTCACGCTTCCTGTATTCTAGACGCACGTACAATTCAAGAAACATTGGCTCGGGTTACTATCTAAATAGTTGTAGCCGATATACGCAGTCACGTTAATGCAGCGAAAATGTTCGTATAGCAACATTAGGAAGGTTTGACATCGAAAACCTGCAATCACAATGGTAGACCAGCATCTACGCTACTCGACTCACACACCTGCTCCCTGAGACCACTTTTCAATCAACCGATATACATAAGCTGCCAGTTGAGCCACATTTTTCGCTCATTAAGTAGGGAGCCCGAAGGAACAATTGGTTCGACAAGGAATCTCAAGCCGCTGCATAAAATATACGATCAGACGAAACGCGAGCTATTTGCGATGTCAAAATAGGGAGAGACGCAGAAAGCATCACATTTTTGCCTACATTAAAAATGCCTGAACATTTTATCAGAAAGTTAGGCATATTGCGGAGGGTTTACTGTAAGTACAAATATGCTAACGTAGTGGGCGATGTACAGAGCATGCTAAAACTATGGAGCGAACCCTTTTCTCCGTTCTTGATTGGTATTTAAAAGCACTGAAACAAGTAAAGAAATTGAACCCGAGCCAGGTATCTCCTCCGATTTATGGCGTTGGCTTTGATGTTGTCACACAAAAGGGAGGGACCTACAGTTTTATGCCGACTCCAAATGGCGATTGTATTTTTATGAGAAGCTGTTTTTCATGGCAGAATGCACTTGGGAGTTTGCCATTGCCTGTCGAGTGGCGACCGCTATTAGAAACAACTTTTTCTTTTCTCTTTTTGATGTCGGTCGGAATCTGAGCTTGAAAGCAGCCCTTGCGGAATGGAAACGCGCATTGCTAACCACTACAACACAGCGGCATCTCCATACCTGCAGTAAATAGCCGCTGTTGATTTATAATCAGGCTGGATTGAGCGAAAGCAGAAATCCTCAGTGGTTCGTCCTGATTTTAGCCCCTTGGAGTTCCTAGTTTCCTTTGACGCTTGCGTATTTTGGCAACATCAATATAATGATCCGCGCCGATGTCAACACCTCGTATGGAACGTGCGTCTGGTACCATTTATTTTCAAGTATCACGCCACGGAATAGTCGAAAAGGTATTCTTGTGAAGGCTGTAATTGTCAGCTGTTTGATTAAGTAAACCTACTTTGAACATCCAAGCGTCAAAGTTACCAAGGGGGAACTCCAGAGTGACGAGTGGGACATTTTAACTCGTTTTCGCTCAAAATTTTAATAAAATCTCTGTAACTATTGATTTGACAAGTGTCAAACTGTTAACACTTGAAGTCAGATATGACAGTAATCGTAGGGGGAAATACTTTTTCAGTTGTACCTAAATTTTTTGCAGGTGTACCTAAATTTAATTACGGACTGGTCTGCTAGCTGCATTGTAGCCAGCTTCCTGCGATACATGGAGATATATTTGTGCTCTCTGACGGGATCAAGTTCTTGGGCATGCTCCTTCAATCCATGTTGAAAGCCAAATATTGAGGTGTGTGTAAAAAGGCATCAGTAGCTGTATACTGCAGTAAATAAGTCATGGGGAAAGATGAAGCATATCTCAAAAAAGGTATTTATTGGCTGTGAGAAACTATAATGAAGCAGATAACGTTACATGGGGTCATTGTCTGGTGTTATTCACTAGAAAAGTCTACTATGAAGGGCGTCGGCTGTTAGAACCAGCGGTTAGCTCAGTATCGCAGCGGCTGACCTTACGGCAAATTTAGCACAATTTACTCCACCATAAGGCTAAAGACCTCTGGTTTCTCCTTCAACCCCACTCGGCAATTCTTTGAAACATCGACTTATTACCGGAGGAAATGAATCGGAGCATTGCACCGAATAAATATTTTTCTACACATTTGCCGCTAAATAATTTTCTTCACAGAGGGATCGAAGATGGATTGCAGAGGTGGAGAGTATTCCATCAGGACTTCATAGTATTAACTTGCGTAAAGTCGGCTTAGAGAGCGCTGAGCACTTCTTTTTCTTCCCTGCTTTCGCCAGACTGAGGCTTAAACACTTCGGCACGTATTTCATCAACATTCCCGAGGAACTCTCTGGGCGGACGTCAGGTGCTAGCACCCAGCGCTTTTTCTAACTTCACATGGTTTACCTGCACTAACCGTTCTATGAATTCTAAAATGTGGTAATAAGCCCCTCTCGAGACTTCCACCTCACCTAACCTAACATAACCTAAGGCACCCCTTACCATTTTTGAGGAAACATGTTAGAATATAAGGGCCTTGACCCTTTTTTATTCTTCTCATAAAAAATAGTTCGCCGTTCGGAGGGGGCGCTAAATTGAAAACCTCTCAAATTGGAGAAAAAGTTCGGCCAAAACACACAAAGTATGGGAGTTCCAAATATTTATTTCTTTTTGGGTATTTTTATAAGCTTTTGAAAGATCTGACGCTGATATATGCTTAATAAAAGTCAAGTGTAATAGAGCGAATCTTCTCGCGGATTTTGTCACATAAAATGTATTTCTTTTATAAAGCATACTAGAAAATTATATACAAATACATACGAACTATTTTTTTTTTAAATTTATTTCCTCAACATTAATTAAGCTAAAGTTTTATAATTTTTCAGAATACTTTTGTCATGGGCACATTCTTCCGCACATGTTTACATATGTACATACATTGGTGCGTGCACATTCCCACAATTTTAATAGATTTCCGCTTTGTTTTTATTTCCACTTTTGATCTTTTCAAATTTCACGTCATCACGTTTCTAATCAAAAACTATTATTTTTCTCTTATCTTTTTCCTGTTACTACTTATTCTACTATTCGCCGTCGCACACAGCCATACCCGTTGGCAATTGGACAGCGCCGGATGTGGACTACAATGAACGATTCGGATGGGAGGGTGCTAACGATATGAGTGCCAATTATCGCGATGCGTTGAAACGTGGCCTCCCCTTTCCCATACTCACAGTAGCTGAATATTTCAGTCAGGGCCGCGAGGGTTTCTGTTGGGGTGGCCAATATCGCGCTGCGGGCTACTTTGCCAGCATAATGCTGTCGGCATCGCTAGCCTCGTGGCTGCTCATGAATCTGCTGCTTATCGCTGTGCCACGTTATGGCGCTTACATGAAGGCGCTGACAGGGGCACTGCTCATTGGCACCAATATTGGCTATTATTGCTTGCTGCCAAAGCGCCCGTTGATCATCTATTTGGAAGGTGGACGGTTGGAGTTCAAGCTGGGCTGGTGCTATTGGCTACTACTAGTTGCAGGTAAGCGCTGTGAGGGCAAATGACTAACGATAAGTGTAATTAGGTCGAATAGTTTAATCGATGGTGCTACTCTTTTAACCTCAATTATCTCTTAACAGGTATCCTTTGCTTCATTTGTGGCGTTTTAATATCCATAATTGATTTAGTGTGGCCACACACTTTCTCCACTGTGCTAGAAGTGTATTATGGTACGCCCTACGATAGACACGTTATACTGGAGGAGTCAAGTGATGTGCGCTATCGCAAGCGAAATGGTGCAAATGCTGCTGGTAGCTTGGAAGAACCACCAGGCTTGGGTTCGCGCATTTTGCGTCGACTATCATCAAAAGCTCGAGATCATGGTAATGCTGCTGCCTACTACAGCGGTAATGCTGGTAACGTTGCTGGTGTGTCTTGTGCGGCGGGCGTGAGTGGAGGAGCGTCGGGACCGTTTGCCGCTGGTGCCATTGAGCATAAAGGTTACCAGTCTGATGTGCCAAAAAGTCCATGGCGATACCCGTTCCGTCGCTCACAGCAATTGCAAGCGGCGCGGCCGAATGCGCGTCTACAGCGCACCATCTCGCAGGACTCAGGGTCCAGCATAGCATCAGCGGCCATACATATTTCGCCATTACATAAGCACGCGCTGGCGCGTATGCTGCCGTAAGTATGAGTAAAATGGTTGTAAGGGGCAAATATCAAATATAGTGAGTGGAGAAGACTATGAAAAATCGTGAAAATTGTGCGCTATAAGTAATTAAAAAAGTTTTTTTTTGAAGAATAAAATTAGCAAGGTGTAATTTTTTTACTGGCTTCAAAAAAGGAGGAGGTTATCAATTCGTCGGAAAAATTCATCAAATTAATCGGGAAATTCAACACAATTCTTCTGAATTCTACCTTGAGATGACCTTGGAATAACCTCTAGATGACCTTGAAGAATCAAGGGACCCCCATATTCGGATTCTGCAACAACAAAAACCCATATGTGTATATGAATTTTTATCTTTATTGAACACATTTTTTTCCTATTTGACTCTAAAATGACCTCGAACTTGATATTATGGAGGTTAACGGAACTCGGATTCGCATTCAGCGCGTCGAATAACATAGAGCTACAGAGGTTTGCTTCCATATGCAGAAACTTTTTTTTTGTAAACCTGTGTAATTTACAAAGGTATAAGTTGTAACTACTATTTCGGCCTCCAAATTGTTGAAAGTGTATAAGGCCATAATAAAAAAAACCAGCAATTTTATAAAAAAAAAAAAATAAATGTTAACAAAGGGGTGCGCTATCCTAATGTTCTTCAGAAACGCAGCTAATTTTGGTTGAAGTCTTGATTTTAGAAACATTATAAAACCAGGTTTTAAAAGTCGCATGGTTTATACAAATATATCAAACACTGTGTGTAATATGGGGCAAACTAAAAAATCTCCACACAAAACAATTGTGGTTTTAAGGCATTTTCGGAACGCATTGTGGACCCCTAAAAATACTTTCTTACCCTTCTGCATAAATTCAGAGCTAGCCCCTTACATATAAAAGGTGAGTCAAAATGGCTCAATAGAGAAATGTATGCAACCGAAACTTTATTTCATATTTGTGACTAAAAATTCAAAATTTATTGCTTTTCTTACTACCACTACACCTTTGGGTCATTTTGATCCAATTTGCGCAGAAGCGTTAATTCTTTGCATGTTAAATTAGTCAGAAAAAAAAGAATAATTTACGGAACTGCTCATAACTGTACATATCGACGGCTGAGTCAGAGATCGACCTATCCGGGCAGCCGGTTCGGAATCGCCCTATCTCGGAAAATGGCTCAAGAACCCCTACCTCAGAATTTGGTTGAAGAATGCCCTATCTCAGCAAATTGTTCAAAAACTCCCGTCTCACCTTTCGATAGATTGAATTTACATTGAGATAGGGGGCTCTTGAATCACTTGCCACGCCCAATTTCTAGGCGTTTGTTGCCTTAAACGAAAATCTTTCCGAACAAACATTTTTAATTAATGGGCAATCTATGGGCATGCCCAATAAAATTTCCCCTTTTGCAAAAATACGATTTTTGGCACCTTGCTAAATTAAAATATTTTTTTTTTTTACATTTGAAAAAGAAGGTTTAAGAAGAGCACGTATAATTTTTGCATTCTAGTTTTATTTTGATTTAAAATTTTCTCTAACTAATTCTTTTTTTTCCAGAAATCCACCGCTGAATCGCATTCGAGATGTGGAGCACTGGTGATACAGTTGATGCAAACTTCATTTGGCTAGTATTGCTAGGCAAAGTCAGATATTTATAATTAAAAATATATAGCAAACATGCGCAAACTAAAGTTGAAAAACAAATAATGTGATAAAAAATCGAAAAAACATAATTAAAAAACTGACAAGTGTATATATATAATTACAATACTATATTCTCACATATCTAAATGATAAAAATTAATCAAAGCAATGAAAGTATGTAAATCTGTATAATTTAAACACAGAAAAGAAAAACTCTTGCACATCGACAAACATGAACTTAATTGTGATAAAGCCATACACCAGGACGGCCAGATTTAAATCTGCACTTAAATTTGATACAAAAATCAATAAAATCAAATTCAAAGGCACACACACCAGCATGTATAAGTTTAGTTTTTACGAAATGTCAAGTTATTTCTCACTATTGCAGAAAATCGAAATACTTATATAAGTGGTTAACTAGAGTTTATCAAACAAAATTATTTATTGAGTATTGAAAAAAGTAAAATAAAAATTAATAAAATATCTCACATAAATGTGTAGCCTTTGGATAATGATAAACTTAGTTTATAATTTAATTTATTTTACCAATACATATTTAAATTTAATAATATTTAGTTTTAGCTTAAGGAGTGTATTTAATAGATTTTTAAATTGTTTGATATGTATGACAGTAAAATTACCGAGAACTAACAATTTTTGTAAGGAGGTAAACTTTTTTTCGAATACTGAAAGACCACTCGCAAGAGTTGTGAAACTTGATTTGCCGAGCTTCGGTGGTTGTAGAATCGCCTTGATATTGAAAACCAGGGCAGTCAACTTTTTTTCGAACTGATGACAACAGCAACGTACTAGTCAGATTCTAAAAGGATTTTGATAGAACTCGCCACATTTTTTATAGTGGGTTCAAGTTTATACTTTTTGTTCAAAAATACAATTTTACTAGGTTATTTTAGATATATATATCAGAACCAGTGCAAAATTAAGCATTCGAAAATTTTGATCCAACTTTGCGTAAATGCCAGATGGAAGATCAAATGTTCCACCAACAATTTTAAGCATCAAAATTTCCTAGGGGTCATACTAGTTAAACAAAAATTTTCTGCGGATTAAGGGGGAAGCGTAAATTCATTACTAATGTTTCATGGAAAATAGTTAATAGATTTTTAAAAAGATTTTGACTGCTACTCATAAATACTTACATTCGGTTTAGTTTGAACGCGACCTTCAAATAACTCTTCCTCTTAGGAAAAAAAACGTTGACCACCTTCGTTATCAAAATGCCGGGTGATTCTATAGTATTCTGAGTCCCGAAGTTTTACATTACGACTAGCTACGCACTACTATCCAAAAATAATTAATCACCATGCAAAAAGACTTCAGTTTTCCCATTGTTGGCCCAAATTTGACTATAACACCGTGCGACAGTAAATTTTACACACACAAAAATTAATATATTCGCGAAAAAAATGAGCAAAATATAGTAAAACTCTGACGTCGGGATCTTTTTTAAAGGACTTTGAAATTTCAAAAATGTTATAAATTCAAAAAATTATTAAAAAAATTCAGTGCAATATAGAATAACAATAAGGATATCAAATAAAAAAGAAAACCCTGTAGAAATAAAAAATATTAAAATTTTTGGTGTATTGAAACTTTAATTTTAAAATTTTATCCTTGAATATCCTTGAAGATTTGCAAAATTTATTTTTGAAAAAATTATATATTAAGTACGAATATACACACGACCACAGCCTAGAATTTCGTCCTCCTAACTTTATTACATTTAAAAAATAAAATTAATTAAAAGCGCATTTTCAATACTTATTTGTCCCTGTAAACCAAAAACTTTATTGTTTTTCTATTTTGCAGAATTTTATCCTTCATTTGGTACCCATATTATTACTGTGCATTGCACTGATTTTTTTTAAAATAATTTTTTGATATAATTATGTCTTTAAAATTTCAAAGCCCTTAAAAAAATCCTGACGTCAAAGTGAAAAACTAAAAACGCAGCTTTACTATATTTGGCCCATTGTTTCGTGAGTATATTGATTGTTTCATGTGGTTTTTTTTCGCACGGTGTAATAGCTACTTTTAAATTAAAAAAAAGTCGACAAAATATTTAATGTATTGAAAATGATAAATAATGTATTAACATATTAATGTACTCTACAGGTGATAAGGTTAGAAGTAATAAGGACGAAAATGAATGTAATATATTTGTATAAGGACACGATGTTTGTAACACTGCAGCCATTTCGAATGAGAAAAGTTTATAACGTAGAATTTAAAGGAAAATAAAAGGAAAAAGAAGTTATGACATACATTTTCTTGATTCCAGTTTTTAATTTAAACTACTGAATACCTGCTTCGAACCGCTATAAACGCATTTTTTCGTTTGCCAGTACAAAAACAATGTTGAAAGGCAAAAAAGTTTTGCGAACCGAGTATCCAATTAGCTCTATTACCTGTCGTTTGAAAACCACAACTGGCAGTCTAATCTGAAAATAAAATACAGCAATAAAACATCAGAAGTTATTGCTCTCAAATTCAGCCGTGGAGTTTAAGAAGCTAAGAAGTGGCATTGCATTAATATCACGTTAGACCGCAGAAGAAAGGTTTAACTAGAAACCTTATTCAAGTCCTTCGTATTGCAGGGCAATTACAGAGCAGATGCTTTACCGTAATATTATGCAGCTGGTATTTATGTAGATTATAGCTGCGATAAGAAGTGTTGTATCAAGTCATAGTTTTGCAGCAAGTGCTAGAGCCGTGAAAACTCGGCAGTGCTGGGCTCGGCTGGGAGATGCGGCCGTTCGTATAAGTAGCGCAGCGCAGCGCTGAAGGAGATACTTACAGAGCCAAGTGCTTTGATCTCCGCCTTGCTAAAATTTTTTTGCACGCCTCTTTGATAGCAAAGTCCTCCGTCTGAAAAGTACTGACCGAAGTCGGTAGTTAAATAAACTTTTCGATTTAGACTCAGTTCCTTCAACCTCAGTGCACACTGTGAAGCACTTTCCTTAATACAAAGATCAGTCGGTGAAATATAACAGATGAGATTCAACGCTTCAATAGGACATGTTCACTTCACTCCCATAATCGCAACCCTGCCTAACATTGGGTGTATGTAGTTCGTTGCTATGGCTTTCCACCAATCCGTATGTAATTATTGGCCTCATCACCACCTTGTAGATCTCACTTCCTAACTTATATTTTCTTGCAAGATCTCTGAGAAAGAAGAATTTATTGGGCGTGGAGCTAATAGACATGTCGAGCTGCAGATCTGCAAGATGCAAGCAATTCCAGATAAAAACTCTCTCCATCTCCCAATCACTTCGTACCGCTGCGTACGCTACCCTGCAGCGTGCGAAATTTGAGCGGGGAAAAAAAGGAGGGAAGAGAGAGAAAAAATGGAGGCTAAAAGGCGTGAGTGCGAAGGATTTGAGATGTTGGAAATCAGGAATGCGGCTCGAAAATTGAAATGGTTTTAAGACCGCAGAGTGCGGACAATAATCGGCGTTTAGCTTCAGGCGCTAAACGGTCAAGTAGTATAACAAGCAACATTGGTGGGCCTTCAACAAGTACTGCTCATAAGCAACCTAGGGGGAATTTTAGTTTCTTTCAAAGGGTAGGATGTAGGATCTGGAGACATTAAAAAATGTGAAATTAAAGCTTAAAAAAAACGAGCCCAGTTCGGTTAAGATCCTCTCGATTTCTGGAAAAGTAAACTAAAATACAATAAATTGGAAGATATGGCCCGCAAGTGTTAAGCAATTACTCAGTGCAGCCGGCCTTATATAGGAACCTCTACGAAATCGCCTATTGGGACAAATGGCGGTAAAATTACTTTTTCTGAAATATAATATGCCCCTTTTGAACTCTGACTACTAGATTAAAACATTGTATAGGTTTAGCACTGGTTCAATGTTCTAATAATTTATAAAATTTTGAAGTAATAAAAACGAGGACTTAAGATGATTATAGCTTTTTAATGTTATTCATAACATTTTAATTCGCATACGCACATTCGCATTCCGACATTCGCATTCGCAAATGTGAAAAATATGACATTCGTAACATCTTTGGTAAGCACATACATACGCATGCATTTATATTTGCAATATTTATTGCGTTATGTACAGTTGACAATTTCAATGCATACTTTTAGGCACGCTATTGAACACAACTGCTTTCTTGCAATCTAAAGTTTTGTGTAAAGTCAACACCACAGTATAGACAGTAACCAACCTTTTTGGGTTGTTGTTGTAGTAGTCGTTGTTGTTGTAGTTATATTCACTCCTGAGGAAGGCACGGGGTTGTGTGCTGCTATTTAATGGCCTTCCTCAGACTTTTTCTTAGATTTCAGGGTTATGTGCTGCATTATTATTAGATAAATAAATTTGAGCATTTGACAAATCGTGATTTTATTAAAAGAAAATTATAAATGGTGTTGAAAAACCAAACAAACGCTCGTGCGAAAGCTCTATTTTTGTGTATTGTTAAAATTTATTCGTGGCGCATTGATGGTCATACAAGCAATGTATTTTTTTGTGGATTTTATGTTACTTGAGAATTTAGACAACGTGCGAGCTGCCAGGTTCGGTTATCAATATAATTAACACAAGCTTTTCCGCGTGGTTGCCTTTCAATAAATAGAATAAACAAATATTTGTAAATAAATTGGATTTATTTTATAACTGACAACTAACGTACGCTTTTTATTCTTTTCTCCATTTTGATTTTGACTCTTTATTACCGCCAACAACTTTATGTGTATACATATTTACAAGCTGTCAAAATTTTGCGTAGTCCCACGAGCTAGGTAAAAACTATGGCATTCGTATTCACAACGAGAAATCTCAAAATTTTTGTTTGGTCTTTCCAGATTTTCTCTTTTTTATCAGTTGGCGAAGGCCCTCAGTGGCAGCGCTCCGAGCGTTGAGATAGTAATTTCATGTGAATTAGTAGAAAAGTTTCATGTTGAAAACACTTTTTATTATGGCGAGAAAATTTTACATTTCTGCTGTGCCAATTCGCAACTTTTTACTGCTGGAAATTTTTGACAGTTGCTCTGGTGCAAAAGAAGTTGAGCAATTAAAATGAGAAATTATACAATAAATACTTGTCTTTACTGACATTTATTCTTCAAGAACTAAAAGCCATGCATTTATTAGACGCCTTAGTAATAAAATTAGAACAAACAAATTCCTCAAAACCGTCAGGCCGGGTTGAAAATTTTCATCCACCTCATAGTTAACAAAAATGTACAATCCGTAGTACTTTTATATCAATTCGCAAATGCCGTTTGCACAAAAAAGGTTATGAAATGCGTTTTATTTAAGTCGTTTAGAAAATGAGTCATTTATGTATACCATTTTATGTGGAATTATTGAATAAAGTTCGTTTTACACTATACTTTTTGAAACTATTTGGAGTTAATTATTTTTTGTTTCTTAAAAGCAACCCTGCGTGCTTGGAAGGCGTGTGTACCAATAATTTCATCCCGAGCGTATTCATCCCCGAGGAAGGCAGTCGCCAAATTCACCGAAGGTTGTTTACTGGTTATATTGTGGTCTACACAACGCAATTATTCATACTTACATACATATTACCCAATAGAAATATGGAATACGCTTTTGTTTTACTACTTAGTGAATAGGACGAGTCTCAATAAAAGGATTTAGCTTGAGAATAGTTTAGGCGAAAACTAATTATTTCATGAAATTTCAAAATAGCATTCGATTTTGAGCAAAGTTTGGTACCATGTATTAAAATAAGTGGGAAACAGATGCGACTGTGATGCTTTTCACAAATCGACAAAATCTTGTTATTTTTGTTTAAAAATTAAATTCAATTAACCTAAAAGAATTACTCCAATGTAGGTAAGGTTTTTGATAAGGGTTTTAGTTTTTAACTACATGTAGTATGGTTGCCACCTGTTTCAAAAATCAAATGCTACTCGAATTAAGGGAATTAGGTAATTGGAACATGTATCACAAATGTGTGTCAGACGAAAGGGGCTTAAAAAGGTTTTAGTTGGAAAATATTTCGAAGAGTGTTTCCACCTGTTTTAAAAGTCAAATTTAAATTATAAATGTTCAGCTTGAACATGTAGTATTTTCTGAAGTATTCCAAAAGGATTGGGACCTGTTTTAAAACTAAATTCAAACACAATTATATCATAAGTTGAAAGAATTATAACAATATAGTTGAAAAGTCTTTATTTATAAGCCACATATGTATAGAAGGGTTTACACATGTTTGAAAATTCAAATTCTAGGTGAATTATAGGAATTAACTTTTAAAAAGGGAAAATTCGAACTATTCAATCAGTTCAATGAATTATTACAATATTGGTATGAATCAGGGATGAAAAATGGAAATTTCAGATTGCACCTAATATCATAAAAGAAATGTACCTAAATGAGACAGATTGTACCTAAAAAAAGTTACATCATTCATTTGTAGTTTTTTTTATAAATTTT